ATTTGTCATTTAAAAGTTCATCACACAAAAAAACTAATAAAATCCATAAATTATTTAAGAGTGGTAATATTGTCAGTTGTATGCTATTTCATTGTTTATTTTTTGTTGTGTATTATTTCAAATTATACCTACAAAAATCTATCAATATTAGGAATTTCTCAAAAGTAATTTACAGTTAGTTCAAACTGGTTCAAACATTTAAAAATTAATTACTCATGCGTGAGTAGGATATTCTGTTATGCACACCTGTATGTGTATGCAAGTACATAATATAAAGTAATGTGAGGGCATTTTATATAGGTATTTCATGTACAACACGCACGTAAATAACCTTGCAAGGACGTTATCGAAAATGTGACATTTTGAACTTGGAAATATCGATTTTAATAGAATACATGAAATTAATGGAAATAGAATTGTTAAAACCGTTTTTTAATGAGAATTTTTAGAATATACGAACGTAATTTAATAAACATTCTAATAAAATAGCCATAATTATAATTGTAAGTGTCGGGTGTCGACACCTATCATCGATGTGACAAATTACACTGGTAAACATGTAAACAAATTTTAACAAACTAATCGTAAGAGGATTTTGCAGAAATAACTCGCGAATCTCCACTATTGTGTATGAGTCAAGGCTAGTTAAAAATTAGAAAGAAAGTGACTCAAAAAGCCTTCGTTTATCGTCCGTAAAGTGAAGATGAAGTGAAGAAAACATTACTGCCGTGTTCCAAACAAACAAGTCAAAGTTCTGTACTGGTACTGTGTTTAGTACTTAACCTTATGAAACGCTATGAATTAATGCAAACTGGTTTAAATAGAATTTAAGTTTAAATTGATCGTGCTTATTGTACAATACTTGACGCAATTTACGAGAAAATTTGTTAATTTTTTATTTTATTAAACCAGGAAATTTACTTGCATTTTAGCTGTCGTATTCGACTGTTTTACGTTTTATTTACAAACTGAAAATTTCAAAGAACTTCGATATAAATTTAGATAGGCGTTGGTTGGCCCGTTGCCCAAAAACTAAGGATTGTCGTGCTTCGCATGTTAATTGAAGTAATCGTACGAAATAGACGTGACAGATTGTTACTTAACTAACCACAATGCACATTTAAATTAAAGACTTATCAAGAATAATATGTATCCAAGCACCAGTAAGTATTACTATTTGGATGGTAAAGGGGTAGTTTCATCATTTGATTTACCAATTTAACTTGATCAGATCCACCACCACCTGGTAGCCATGGCTATACACCAGGAGGCTATCCACCTCCACAGGGATACCCATCACCACCCCAAGGAGGTTATCCTCCACCCCAGGGTGGCTACCCTCCACCTCAGGGAGGATATCCGCCTTCCCAAGGAGGTTATCCTCCCCCACAAGGATACCCTCCACCTGTTCAGGGATATTATGGTCCTCCACCAGGGGGGTATCATCCCCCAGGGGGATATGGACCAGGACCAGGAGGCCCTATTACTAACCAGCCTGGTGTCCAGCCTGGTGGAATGGACGGTAAGTTAGTTTGAACTTTCATCTTGTTGAGCTACTTTATTAGATAATTAAAGCCATTAAGTAATGTAGATAATGGTAGTTCTATGCAGGAGAGTGAGATGATAACAAATAATAGTCTTCAACAAACATATTTGTTCAACCATTACAAAAGGAACAATTATCATCTTTGTCTTGAAAGATAGAAGACGTTTTGATTTATTGTATGCTGTATAAAGAATGTAGTGTTTGTTTCGAAAGCAATATCAGGTTGTTACTACTGTTAATGATGCCTGAGTTCGGTGTCAAAATTAAAAAGATTTCAACAAGATCATTCATTAGAAAGATTTGCACATTATTTAAATTTAAAAAATCACCCAAAAAAAGTGGATACACACACTTAATAACGGACGAGGAGCAAAGGTAATGAAAAATATAAATTGCAACAGAAATTGAATGAAAAGTTAGTAAACATGTTTATAATGTGAATGATTTTTTAATGTTCTAGCATGTGCTTTGCCATATAAAAAAAGGGTATATTATTTATTATCATATTTGTATTTAAAAACGTGTTTATTTTTTTTTTGTGAATGTGTATTGTATGTTTTAAGGTGGTTGGATGAGTATACCTCAAGGTGGAATCAACTGTCCACCCGGATTGGAATACCTTACTATGATTGATCAATTACTCATTAAACAAAAAGTTGAAATTTTAGAAGGTTTGTAATTCCCATATCAGAACGAAATAATAAAATAAAATAAATAAATATTTTATTTTTAGCATTGACTGGGTTTGAAACAAAAAATAAATTTACCATTAAAAATAGTTTGGGACAAAAAGTTTACTTAGCTGTAGAAGATTCTGATTGCTGTACAAGAAATATTTGTGGACCTATACGTCCTTTTGAGATGAAAATATTGGACAATTACAAAAACGAAGTTATTCATTTACATCGCCCCCTTGCCTGCGATTCCTGTTGTTTTCCATGTTGCCTTCAGGTTCTTTTCTGATTTTGTTTTATATTATGTCGTTTAATAATTAATTGATTTGTCATTTTTAGAGTATGGAAGTGTATGCTCCACCTGGAAATTTGTTAGGAATAGTTCAACAAGAGTGGAGTTTATGTTACCCTAGTTTTTCTGTTCAAAATGCCGCTGGTGAGACAGTTTTACGCATAGAAGGACCTATTTGCACAATGAGTATTTGTGGAGACGTCGAATTTAAAATACTCTCAAGAGATGGCGAAACTCAAGTTGGAAAAATATCAAAGCAATGGTCTGGGGTAATGAGAGAGATGTTTACCGATGCTGACTATTTTGGAGTAACCTTCCCATTAGATTTAGATGTTAAAATGAAGGCAGTTATGTTAGGCGCTTGCTTTCTAATAGTAAGTAGCATATTCTTAGTTGTTACTATTACTATTAATTAACGTTTGTTTTTTTTTTTGTTCCTTAGGATGTTATGTTTTTCGAAAAAACCAATAATAACTAACACCCAGGTTCCATGAGTAAATAAAATAATAAAATGTATAATCCAATTGACTGCAAATTACATATATATATATATAATCGCGTTATACCAAATGAAGGAATACGATCTTATTTTTTAAAATGCTCTTTTTGCACCAAAATATTTTTCATTGTAAACGATTTTATACTCCTGTGTTTTTATCGATTTGTGTTTTATATGTTTTTTATTTTTTTGCATTTATTTGATACTGTATAATGTAAGGTATTTTATATTGTGTTCAGATCTTGAATTTGTATCTATATTTACACTATTAAAGTTGTATTGTTCACAATAAAACGTTTTTTAATCACTTAAGAAGAAAATAAAAACAATGAAGACAATAAAAAATAATGATTCTATAAAAAAAAATGTTGCCCTATACCTATATTGTAGCTATTAAGTAAACATAAAATATATAGCTTTTGCTACCATCTACGGGAAAATATGACAAACAATTCTGTAACGGGTGGTTTTTAGTTACAATATTGTCTAAAGATAGCGACAAATTTATTAAATCGAACTCCTATATTCTATACCATTGTCAATGGCGATACTTCCAAAGGGTACATTCATTAATAATTCTGTTTTAATAAGATAGATAATATTTTGTTATTTTAGTAGGCTAAAAATGCATTATCGATAACGGTACCCACTATAGACATAGGGAAATAAAATATGGGTCCCAAGTTCCTTTATCTATTTCTTAGGATTTTAATGATCCAAAAAGCCTGTAAAAACTAATAAATAATATTATTTTAATACTTTACTGAAACTACATACCAATCTTAAGTACTGAAAAATTTACGTAAATAAAAGCATTATAATATTACTAGTTGAACCCGTTCAAATTTCGAACGGATAAGTATCGTTGTCGTTTAATCATTGCATACCCTCATACCATTCGATTACACGATAACATCCTGAATGTTGAGAATAAATCTAAGAGCTAAGGAATAAGGTACCCTTCTATCTTTTTAGAGGGGTTGATAGTTTTAGAAGATTGTATTATGAGAAGAGACAGCCTCACCGATAATGTTTATTAGGCAAAAACGCCTTTTTGGCCGTTTTAATTCGCTAATATTTTTGAAACCGCTGATTAGTCAGATAAAATTTTTTTAAATCTACCCTCAAAACTTAAATCGATCGGCTTTACCGCATTTCACGCATTTTTTGTCGTTTTCGTACAATTTTTAACGAAACTATAGTGGGTTTGGTAATTGCTAAATGAGTGATCGCCAAAAATTCAAACAAACCTATAGTATAACAATAATATTGACTGTTACATATTTAAAAAAGACACCCCTAAGTAGACAATATACCGCTTGATTGAGTATGATTTCCGTATTTTTGGAAACAAACTTCAATTTTTGATTACCACCTCTCTTGTGAGAATATGTATGTGTGTGTTTGTATCTGAAGGGATACGATTATTCATTCAGTAATTCAGTTATCCTCAATCGGGCTTACTAGCGAGGCCGTTTTGTCAAAGTTTCTAAAGTGTTAGTGCAAACTTAACACGTCGCAAATGCAACACTACGAGTACGTTTTAAAATGTTCAATGAAACTAAAAGTATTGTGATAAAATACCCCCGTGAAACAACTATTTTTGCTTCTATTTGTGCGGTGTTTTTTTGTATTGTGGGAATAACAGGTATCTATTGCAGATTATCGTTCAATAGTAAATAATTATTAATTTTAGTACCATTGTGAATTGCATTTAACTATTCATATTTGAATTTTATTGTTTTACAGTAATATTGTTTATTTAAACAAACTGCCTTAGATATTATGTTATAATAATCATTTTCCTGTGTTCTTAAAAAAATTTTGTTTGTTAAATGCTACAAAAAATCTGATTGATGTGGTAAAAAGTTATCAAGATACATATTGTAATAAAAATAAAGTTAAGTTTTCAATAAAATAAGTATTACAAAGAAATAGCATTCCTGTTAACATTGAAAATAATAATTTTAATTGATGTTTCTAATAATAAAGTTACTTTATTTATCGTATGACACCCTATTTTTCGTAATAATTATTTTGTTCTGGTCACACCAGCAACTTAGTATTTTAAACTTAAAATAATTGATAATCATATTATATCAATATTAAATACAAAGGTTTGCATTCTTAAATTTCACTATTCAATCCTCTGAAGACGTAATAAAGAAAACAATTGGTAATCTAGCGTTACATAAATATGTGTATAGTTTCTCACACAAATTAACAAAAGAAATTATTTATTTACGATTTAATTACAATACTTAAGCAGGACTTCATATCAACATTTTTTTAAAAAAATACTATCTGCAAAAAAAGTAGGTGGTATATAAAATGAAATCCACTTATTGTGTATAAGTTAATATGCAGGTATTATTATTTATCTATAAGGGAAAGTGATTTATTTAGGAAATAGTTTTGGAATATTCCTTTTATCGTATCGTTCAGATTTAAAATGGCGTCATTTAAATCATGCTATTGTCGCTATCTTTGATAAAATCTTATGAATGAGGCATCATACGATAAAACTGATTCTAACTTTTATGGTACAAATCTGAATTTTGTATTTTTTTTTTTTTAATCAGTAGCTATTAAAAACTATAGCGTATCAAATCCTGGTCAACATCGTTTTTGCTAACAGTTCCTTTTTTTTTATAGGAAATTTAGTGACTATTATAGCATTAATACGGTGTCCAAAATTGCGGGGGCATGCAACTACTGCATTTGTTTTGTCCCTCTGCGTATCTGACCTATTATTTTGTTCAGTAAATTTACCCTTGACAGCATCAAGGTTCATCCATGAAGCTTGGACTTTGGGCGATTCTGTATGCAAATTGTTTCCAGTACTATTTTACGGGAATGTCGCTGTTTCCCTACTCAATATGGTTGCCATTACATTAAACAGGTATGTTTGTCAGGGGCTAAGGACAAATTTACAAAGACTAATTAGAAAACTAATGTTTGAATTTGAATTTATTTATTTTTCGATTTTAATTAACTGTGATATGAACTCTATTACTGCTTGACAATCGCCGGTGCAATTGTTCAATTTTTTTAAATGATGCACATGTTTTGTTTATCGTATTTCACGTTTTTGCTTTGCTTTTTGTAAATAACGGATAAAGAGATAAACTGTTAGAATAAATTGTCCTCTATCTTTGTCAACAGTTGCTGAAGATTTTATTTAATTTCTCCATGTATATATTTATCTAAAAGGTGAACTTCAAAATAGAATGCTTTAAATAAATTAAGAAAATATATGCGAGTCTTTAATTTGAAGGCATGCGAATCAAAATTGTGGCCGTGGGCATAATTTCGTAATAAGAAAAAATATTACAAGAAGAAAAATTATTCCTTCAATTAGGTCGTTATTGAGTTGATTGAGTTTTCTCGTAAAATTTGTTTTGATTAACATTATCAAAGTTTTTTCTCGGAAATCAAGGATACTTTTTATTTCATAATTGCAAGTATGAATTACACTTTTGTTAAAACTTCATGGGGTACCCGAATTAAGTCCTACATTTTTTTAAGAATTTTTGTGTCTGCTTTGATAAAATGTCATATTTACTTATAAGGGAGTTAATTTCTTAGAATTAATGTTTATGGGGGTTAAATTAAACTAACGTAACTACAAACTGAACTTTTTGATTCACCTAACTGTGACATCAAAATCAGTAAAACGCATCATCGTAATACATATATGATATGGTAGGTACTTAAGTTCTAATATTCATAAGTACCTACGTATAATGTACATGTGCGTCGGTATGTATGCAGTTGTGTTTGCTTCTGTTTTTAGTTAATTCTAGAGACTGCTCTTAATTATTATCAATTACTTCCTCTCCATTCAAAGCATATGTTGTTCTTCATGTAAGAGTCAGTGAAATGTTCTGTGATCACTAATGAATTTTGGGTTTTATCTACTGTGTTAATTTCACTGCCCCGATGAACCTAACAACATTTTTTTATTTTATCCCACGAAAAATAAATAAAAAAGTACCCGTGTTTTACAACAGTTCAGGTCTTTAATATTAACCTTACTATAAGCCTAAACGCACATTTACACTGTTACTAAAAATTCTGTAAAAAGTCATATCATATCTTAGACTATTAGATTATACAATATATTAGTCGAGGGAGTAGGCTTACAATCTTTATATACCCTTTTTTTGTGATGTTGAAATTTTCCTAGTTTTAATAAAGCATTTTTTTACAATAGTTATTACAGATTTATATTTATCTATTAATTAGATAATCGAAAAAAAAAAAAAAATTCACAAAATATAACTATTTTTTTTAATCGTAAAACATAATGTTTCAATACCTTCTGTAGTCGGGTGATACACGTGTTTGTTTTTCTTACTAATATGAGGTCAAGTGTCAAATAATCATTAATTTACCGAAACCGTGGGCGTCCGTTCTAGTTTAATTAGAAGAACATTTTTGTTGAATTAAATTGATAATTGTAGTTAAGATTTGACTAATCAAAAGACATAGAAATGTTACCATGCTCACAAAAAACTTTAAAATTCAATTTGAAAAAGTATCGGTAAATTTTAATATCATTTTCACATTTGTTATTTTATTGATACGTGTAAAATATTTTTTCTTTCTTATCAAGTTTTTTCTTAATATTAATTGTAAATTCGACAATATGAGCACAACTTTGCAAACATGCATTTATTTTTGCAGATATATTCTAGTCTCTTGTCATCAATATTACCGTCAGTTTTACACCCCTCTATCAATATGGTTACAGCTGCTAAGTTGTTGGGTTTTTGCGGTACTAATAATGGTAAGCAATAAACTTTTACAGTAAATCTATCAATATTAGGAATTTCTCAAAAGTAATTTACAGTTAGTTCAAACTGGTTCAAACATTTAAAAATTAATTACTCATGCGTGAGTAGGATATTCTGTTATGCACACCTGTATGTGTATGCAAGTACATAATATAAAGTAATGTGAGGGCATTTTATATAGGTATTTCATGTACAACACGCACGTAAATAACCTTGCAAGGACGTTATCGAAAATGTGACATTTTGAACTTGGAAATATCGATTTTAATAGAATACATGAAATTAATGGAAATAGAATTGTTAAAACCGTTTTTTAATGAGAATTTTTAGAATATACGAACGTAATTTAATAAACATTCTAATAAAATAGCCATAATTATAATTGTAAGTGTCGGGTGTCGACACCTATCATCGATGTGACAAATTACACTGGTAAACATGTAAACAAATTTTAACAAACTAATCGTAAGAGGATTTTGCAGAAATAACTCGCGAATCTCCACTATTGTGTATGAGTCAAGGCTAGTTAAAAATTAGAAAGAAAGTGACTCAAAAAGCCTTCGTTTATCGTCCGTAAAGTGAAGATGAAGTGAAGAAAACATTACTGCCGTGTTCCAAACAAACAAGTCAAAGTTCTGTACTGGTACTGTGTTTAGTACTTAACCTTATGAAACGCTATGAATTAATGCAAACTGGTTTAAATAGAATTTAAGTTTAAATTGATCGTGCTTATTGTACAATACTTGACGCAATTTACGAGAAAATTTGTTAATTTTTTATTTTATTAAACCAGGAAATTTACTTGCATTTTAGCTGTCGTATTCGACTGTTTTACGTTTTATTTACAAACTGAAAATTTCAAAGAACTTCGATATAAATTTAGATAGGCGTTGGTTGGCCCGTTGCCCAAAAACTAAGGATTGTCGTGCTTCGCATGTTAATTGAAGTAATCGTACGAAATAGACGTGACAGATTGTTACTTAACTAACCACAATGCACATTTAAATTAAAGACTTATCAAGAATAATATGTATCCAAGCACCAGTAAGTATTACTATTTGGATGGTAAAGGGGTAGTTTCATCATTTGATTTACCAATTTAACTTGATCAGATCCACCACCACCTGGTAGCCATGGCTATACACCAGGAGGCTATCCACCTCCACAGGGATACCCATCACCACCCCAAGGAGGTTATCCTCCACCCCAGGGTGGCTACCCTCCACCTCAGGGAGGATATCCGCCTTCCCAAGGAGGTTATCCTCCCCCACAAGGATACCCTCCACCTGTTCAGGGATATTATGGTCCTCCACCAGGGGGGTATCATCCCCCAGGGGGATATGGACCAGGACCAGGAGGCCCTATTACTAACCAGCCTGGTGTCCAGCCTGGTGGAATGGACGGTAAGTTAGTTTGAACTTTCATCTTGTTGAGCTACTTTATTAGATAATTAAAGCCATTAAGTAATGTAGATAATGGTAGTTCTATGCAGGAGAGTGAGATGATAACAAATAATAGTCTTCAACAAACATATTTGTTCAACCATTACAAAAGGAACAATTATCATCTTTGTCTTGAAAGATAGAAGACGTTTTGATTTATTGTATGCTGTATAAAGAATGTAGTGTTTGTTTCGAAAGCAATATCAGGTTGTTACTACTGTTAATGATGCCTGAGTTCGGTGTCAAAATTAAAAAGATTTCAACAAGATCATTCATTAGAAAGATTTGCACATTATTTAAATTTAAAAAATCACCCAAAAAAAGTGGATACACACACTTAATAACGGACGAGGAGCAAAGGTAATGAAAAATATAAATTGCAACAGAAATTGAATGAAAAGTTAGTAAACATGTTTATAATGTGAATGATTTTTTAATGTTCTAGCATGTGCTTTGCCATATAAAAAAAGGGTATATTATTTATTATCATATTTGTATTTAAAAACGTGTTTATTTTTTTTTTGTGAATGTGTATTGTATNGGTGCGAAATATGAACCTCGTTATTTATCGATTATAATATTATTAATAAGACATTCTCGTATCGGATGCTTCTCTATTGTGCTTCAGATAGTTGAAGTTTACTATTCCTTCCGATTGGCTTTCCGATGTGAACGCTACACAATTCAAACACTTAACTCTGTAGATTCCGCTTTTCCTAGAGTTATCTCATTTCTAGCCACTTTATTATGAGTTAACATTTTCCTGTACGTACTTGAGATGCTGTTTAAATAAAGCAATGTAAGCATTTAATATTGAAATTAATACAGTTTTTGAATAGTTCCAAGAGCAGATCTCATATGTTTTTTATAAAAGTTTCCTTAAAAATTAATGTTATTGAAACTAGTTCTTCCCCCTTATCAATTATTGTGAGCTCGAAACTGTTAACACCATTGCTTCGAGTGAAAGTGAACAATTGTTCAATTACTTTCATTGTGTTGAAAAATTAAATTTAAAGGAATTGTTTGTAAATAGGTATGCAACACATCGTACACTTCAGCATATGAAATTGCTGATACTAACTACGTAATACTACTTTGCCTTGTGCTGACAGCACTCATTATTTCTTTTGTATATATTATTATGACCTTAAAATTAATTATGTGTACTATTATTATTCAGCTCTTCTTCTACCATTTAAAAGTTGTATATCTTTATGTAGGTATCTAAACCAAAACTAATTATTGAATTTATATCTGTATTCTGTAATTTATAATATACATGCTGAATTATTTGCCAAACCGGTTATGTCTATGATTTAAATTATCCTGGACTGTCTCTCGTCTCTATTTGTCTCTCTGTCTATTGTATGTGGTTGTGAGTAAGATATAGGCGCCATATTTTGTCGGTGTATATTTTTAAAAATTATTGATTATTTCATAAAGCAGTAATTTTATGTTTTTTGTTTTTCTGAAAAACGATAAGATGTTTTTGAGAAACACCAAGTTTTAGAAATTGTTTGTATTTGTTCAGTCTTATTCTATTTAATGTTGGGAGTTCTTTTATAGAACGACATTGTCCTTGTATGTGTTGGTAACAGAAATGCGCTTGGCCGCTTGGTGCGCAACGCCTGTAAACGGAAACGTTTTAAGAGTTTTTGGATCGATTAAGTGAGTGAAAACGTGAAGAAGACTTATTTAGTGTTTCTTTTATAAAATCGATTGTGTTAAAGTCACCTATGTCGACAAATTTAATCAGTAGATGTGAAATTTTTCAATTTCTAAGCAAATGACGTAGTTTAAATCTTACACAACTTAATTCAATCGAAACGTCTGCTAACAAAAGCATTTTTCGCCTAAAAAGTGTGTTTAGTCTAGAGCTAAGATGGAAAGGAATAAAGACTGTTTTAGGGGTAAAAGTATGTCCATATCTCCAGACAATCGAAGAATTTCCCCTGATTACATCGAAAGAAGTCGATCACGTTCGAAATCTCCACACTATCGTAAACATAATGGCTACAAATCTCATAAAACCAGTAAGTTAAGTAAGTAGTTTACTTCGATTCATTTGTAAATGTAATCTTCTAGAAATTTCTAAAAATAATTACGTTTTTATTGGTATTCTTATTGTTTCATACTATATTCTAGTTGAATTTATTTTTATATTTATTAGTTCATAAGTAAATGATTATTAATATTCAAAATTTCGTGGCAACTATTTGAATTCCTTTTTACTTGTATAGAAAAATATCTAGAAACAATAAAACAATTGACTGTCCTATAGATAGGTACGCCGAAGCATTTTGTCCAAAACAGTGGGAAACGCCAGGACCGTATTTAACGATATTTGTGAAACGCCTTTGACTTCTAATTTTATATTGTAAATATAACAAAGTATTTTTTCCAATAAGTTACAGGAAGTGGAGGTTCTAATCATTGAAGATTGTTAACAGATAAAGGTCACCATGAGTAAATGCACTTCTGATTTTGTTTGTTTTTTGTATGTTACACAATTTACAGTGCTAATTAAGAATATACACAAATATATGTATGTTGGGTGCGGAAACTAGTCTTTAGAATAGTTTTAGAGGTTTGAAAGAAAAGTAAGCAAAACAACCCAATTCAACCCAATCAGGATTTTTTGTGCATCACATTGCTGCAAATAACAGAAATGTACGAAGTGGCTTGTTTTTCTTGTCATAACCTTATGCTCCAAGGCAATCAAAAGGTTACATGGGTAGGTTAGGCTACGGTGAAGTAATACAACACTCATAAAGCGTGAGTATTAAGACAATTTCTTTTGTTTACACTGATGATGATAAGATAAACATTCTTATTTTTGGTTGATTTAGTTTACTGTGGATTGAGTTGGGTTGTTTTTCTTATTTTTTTCAAACCTCAGAAAATATGAAAAAGAGTTGTTTCCGCACTCAACATACAAGGATATTTTTAATCAGCACGGTGAACTGTTCAACATAGTAAAATTTCAAGAAAATCGCAGGTCTGGTTCCTAAAGTGAACAATTACCTGCAAAAGTAATCGAGACAGTTTATAGAAGAATTTCTGTCTAATGCTCAGTAATCTAAAAGTTGGATAGATATGCACAGAGGTCTTCCAAACAGGGAGGCTTAAGTTCAATTTTTGCTTTTTTAGAGGCACCATAAACTGTAGATCATTGTGTGTGCCCCCTCCCTCAGATCTTAAACCATAAAAACCCGAACGGCTTGGGTGACGCTTAGAAATGTAGATACATGTCTTCTACAGTACTGTATTGAAATAAAACTGAAGAGGTTTCATATGAAACAGGGAAAAAGAACGAAAATATTTTACTTACAGCATTCTAAAGACGCCATTTTTCACATGCTTTGGGAAGGGGTCGCACATCAGTAATTAACTAACAAGCACTTTCACCACGTTATAGTTTCACTAATTACAATTCAAAAATAAGACGAGTAGTACATTTGTCCACATATCAATCACTATTTTGTATTAGCTAATTTAATATATATAACATATGTTATTATTAAGTTTTCCGGTTTAACGGTTTTGCCGAAATTTAAAGACATACTGAACATGAAATCTGACCATTGAAATAACATACAATTTTTAACGATTTTTACTAATTCTATGATTTTAGTATTATTGCGTTGTAATTCTTAAACTGCAACCGGGTGAACATTAGAGATTTAGGGTTAAAATTTAAAACAAATATGACTGTTTATCTAGAATTGCTATCTAATGCATTTTTAGGTAATTATTTTGTATACTATTTTGTATATTTTTTGAAGAATTGTTGGACGTGTTACTAAAAACGATTCGTTTTTGTTTCAGATCGTTATGAGTACAATGTAGAAGAAAAGGGCAGACACGACAGTGACTACGACAGTGATAGAAGCTATGGAAAAAGAGAATCGCCGTGGGAGCCCCGGAGTAACCGCCGAAGCAGATCAAGGAGTCGCGAAAAAGACCGTTTTCACCGCGATAGAGACTATGACTCGTATAAAGAAAGAGACCATCGAAAGACTCGTGATCGAAGATCTCATAGTAATTCTAGGTGGGAAAGAAAATCCGTTGAAAGAAAAGCTAGGGACCGTGAAAGGTCTTACCGTGATGATGATAGGGATAGTGTCGATAGGTATGAATGGAATAGCAGGAAAAGTGAAACAATCTTGACAGGAATAGATTATAATATGTATTTTGTACTTGTATGATTTTAACAGTGAGCGAAGCCCAAATGGAGCAGTGATAGGTGCAAGTGGCTCCGAAATCATTGGATACAAAAGCCAACCCCCAAATAACACTATAATGATTAGAGGACTTGCTCTACATATTACCGAAAATGATGTATGCTCTCATTATACTAAGTAGTTATTTATTTTACATAAAAAAAATAATTTTAGATTCGCCAAGATATAATGCAAGCAGGATTAATGCCAAAGGACATCAGACTCATAAGGAAAAAAGATACAGGTAATCATGGCGACTTTTTGTATGTACAGGAAATATAAATGCTCTTAGGTCATATTTCTGCATTTTTGGCTCGTAAGGCTCAGGTAATGCCATTGGTATCTATTGTGCTGTTTAGGTACATCACGCGGTTTCGCCTTTGTCGAGTTTACTACGCTAGCTGAGGCCACTCGTTGGATGGACATGAAGCAGGTATCTTAACTTTGAAAAGGATCTGTTCAGTTGGTACCAGACTTTAATCACTCACTTTTTTGCAATAATGACTTTCCGACTTGAAAAAAAAAAGCAAATACACTCGGATTTGTTATTTTACTGTAACGATTAAACAATTGTGCTTTAACTGGGTATCAGAACATTTTCAAATTCTAAATTTTAAGATGAATAAACGAACAAAATAGTAAACACCTCCTGCTTCTCAACAGCAAAAATGTCTCTTTTAGAAAGAGGGGTGGGAAAAATATATTAGACATAAAGCAATATAAGTTTGTATTTACAGGGCATCCTCATGCTTCACGACAACTATCGTGCTATTATGCAATATAGTATTCCAAAGGAACTTTGCCAGAGCTCAGAAAAGCCCCCTTCACACAAGGCATCATCTGATTGGTTTTGTATAAAGGTAAATTAAATTTTTTAATTCTCATGTGAATTATTGAAGGAAAAATAATTTGTATTTTAACAGTGTGGGGCCCAGAATTTTAAGAGAAGAGACAACTGCTTCAAATGTCATGCTTCCCGCACAGAAAGTGAAGAAGGTGGAAGTGGTAGCGATGAAGTTTGTAACTATGCTACCAAAAGTAAGTTGAGCCTCGCATTCTTAGGTTTCATTTGTACCTTATTTTGGTTTACATTAATCATTCAAGCTTGATGTCTGTTTTTACGACTATGATCACCAAAACTGGAAAATCATTTAACAATTGAAACTGGCCACGAACACTCAAGTTATTTCATTGACATTAAAGGTTGTACATTTCTTACCTGGAACACCTTTATGTGTTTTTCAGTTTGGTTAATGAACTTATTTAGCATTAACATTAGTGTTATATTCCTATCAGAAACAACTAGTACTATAAAAACAGAATTTTTAAATATCATAAACAAACATATTTGTTTATCTAGACACATGGTAATGTGTCAGCCACATTCGACCCCTATAACTACATGTATTATTTGCAATTTTGCATATTTAATAAGCCCCTTTTGAAGACCTAGATTTTATGAATAAACCTGTTATAGTTCTCGACTTATAGATTAGTTCTAAGTGAATTGAAAATTGGGCGAGTTGGCATCAAGGTAGACCATTATGTATACGTCTTACAGGAAATGTTGTGTTCTTGGGACCTGTACTGCGTATATTTTCATATAATTCGTATAATGTATGTTTATTAATCCCCTTTGTACAGAACGAATTATATGCTTCGTATTTTTTTATTGGCACTTCCCTGTGTACTAACTTTTCTGGGAAGTATTATCTGATATTTAACGATTTTGTAGGATCCCATAAAAATATAAAAACCATTTTAATAAATTTTGGTAAACGTATAGCTTATTGATTAAAATTTCAAAAATGTGTTTACGTGCTTTTTGGCACTTCCCTGTACTACTTTTTGGGAAGTAATAACTCAGATTTGTACGTCGTGATATAACGAATGTCAAAAATAATAAATAAAAAAGCATTCGTATTATATATTGTTTGGTATGATGTTTTTTTATTGTATGTTGTAAACTACTGACCTGTGTAATTATTCGTAGTTACGATAGGTGGAAATAAAATCATGTAGTAAAGCGGTTTAAAACATTTTTGTTTTTTATCAGGGATAACTATGTAAATCACTTTATAATAGTCATGCAATAAAAAATGAAAATCGTTGATGATATGTCGAATTATCCTTCCCATGACGTTAGTCCGTCTTTGGGATAATAAAGCATTCACAACTAATTCTGTCTTGATATTACAGCCATCATGTTAAGAAATCTGGATGCTTTAACTACAGAAGACTCAGTTATGCAAATTTTGAATACAGAAGTTTCCGATTTGGTGAAAACTATAAGTGGAGTATGTATTGGCAGAGACCCCTTAACATCAACCTCTAGAGGAATTTGTTATTTGGGTACCGAAAGTACAGTAGATGCCTTAGCATTACATGGTGCCTTAGCTAATTTAAACCCACCTTTAACTATAGATGGAAAAACAGGTAAATTTCAGCTTATTAAGAATTCAGGCTTTATTTTGAATTAAGTTAAGATTAGTCAGTGACTTCAGAGAACTTTTCTCATATTCTAGCTAAAGGAAACACTTGTATACAAACATCCATACTGTAGATATATTGTTCAAATAATTTATAAACACTATTTTCCATGTATAGCACTGCATAAATTAAAAAACATCTCGAGGTGTATAATATAATATTACGTGATTTATTGTTCTTGTATTTCGTTTTATTATCAAACAACTTGGGCATGTGCTACGATCGTATTTTGTTTCGTTATTTCCGGCTAATATGTAAAATAGAAACATTACTTAATTTCTTATTAATTCAGTTAAAACATTAGTAAGTATTATTGAGTAGTGATGTAATTTAATTGCTTTTAAAATTTGCAGTTATTATTTCTTATTGCAAGTACAAAATGGGTGACACAAAAAAAGCCTATGACCAGGCAGAAAGTGCTGCTTTTCCAAATGCAGCTCAGCCAAGTACCTACGCCCTCAGTGATGTGGATAGGTTGGCAGAATATTCAGCTAGTCGTTACGCGAAAACAGTAGTTGAATATCATCAGTTTTATGACTATTATAAGACATACTTTACACATCAAATAAATAATGGACATTCCATCACGTTGCAAGAAAATCAAATGGATGCCGCAAATGCAGCCGCTGCTGTAGCACAGTCTGCAATTCAACAGATGCAAGCCAGTAAAACATTCTACGACTCCACGCACATGACAGTACCTACTGGCACCGATGGAAAAAAATACCGTGAGTTTGTACAAAAAAGAAATGAAAATATAAGTTTGAATAATACATTTGTAAATTATTTCAGCTATACCAGATAGTACAAAATTTACTTACGATAAGAGCAGTGGATATTACTATGACGTGACTACAGGACTGTATTATGATCCTAATTCGACTTATTACTGGAATAGTGTCATTCAAAAGTACCTTTATTACGATCAAGATAAGTTGACGTACGCCTTGGCTCCTGCTTATGATTCATCCTACACAACTTTTCAAACACCAGTAGAAATAACAGCAGAACCAGAAACGAAAAAGAGCAAATCTGAGAAACAAGACAAAGTAAAAGTTGCCAAAAAGATAGCAAAAGACATGGAGCGTTGGGCGAAAACTTTGAATCAGAGGAAAGAGACATCTACGACTATTAAGAATATAGATGTCGGTGGGGCCCTTGGAATCGCAACTACAGCAGCTGCTGATATTGGGTACTCCGTATTGGAGAAGAAGAATGGTTCAAATTCTTCTATAGTTGCGACGAGTTTTAAACCAGAGGTGCCTGTTGTAGAGGCTCCGGTTCAGGCAACGCCACTAGTAGCTGCATATGGGGGAGAAAGCGAATCTTCAGGCGAAGACGAAACACCTATGGACGACTTGGAGTTCTTGGATTACACGAAACTAATATGTAACCTTTGTAAACGTCAGCTAAGTTCGGCAGATGCTTTAACGAAACATGCGAAATTGTCCAACTTGCATAAACAGAATTTGATTGCGAAAAAGGGAGGATTGTCTAAAAGTGACAGTTCTGGCTTAAAGATCGTGTATAGGGATAGGGCAAAAGAAAGAAGAATGAAGTATGGTGATACTGATGAACCTCAACCGAGCAAGTTGAAAGAAAAGTATTTAAAAACTAGAGAGTTGGTTGATAATCTTCCACCTCCTTCAGCGTCTGTTATGGAACCAATTGGTTCTGACAACGTAGGTAACCGACTTCTTCAGAAAATGGGATGGATGGAAGGACAAGGTCTTGGCAAAACCAATCAAGGAAGAACTACAATCATTCAGGTAATAAAAAGGGGCATTGGCACATATAATAGTAATTGTAAATTCAGTTAAACTTGTTTTTGTACAACCTTTTACGACTATTTTTCTTCAGAAGAAGATTCAACAGTAAATCTGTAATCTAATTTGTTCATTGATTACAAAGGGTAAAATCTATTATCTATTTAAAGAGTAGTTATAATTCTATTAAGATCTGATTTTTAGTTATTGCTGTGTGAAAGTATTAAAACTGTTTAAATGTGTTTTTCTTTCAGGCAGAACAACGCAATAGTACAGTCGGTTTAGGCAATAAATCCTATTCCGCTGTAGCTGGTGAATCATACAAAGACTGTGTTAAAAAAATGATGTATGCTCGTTACCAAGAACTTTCCGAAAAAGAATAAGTGCTTCAATTAGTTATCGTGCCAAATTCGATGTTTATTTTTACATAGATATTAATTTAACAATCTTCCATTACAGATTAATTTAGTTTTTTAAGTCTTTCGACTGCGATGTATATAGAAAAAAATTTATGGTTCTGACCAAGTTTATTTCATGATTGACGAGTTTTAAAAAATAGAAGAGTTCAAGATAACGTTCATACCATTTTAAAGAGGTAGAACGATGTTATTACTTCTTGTTTTGTACAGTACAATCGCGATAGTATGAACCCAAGTAGACAATAGCTGTTTACATTATCGATTTTTGAAATTCATTTGTATGAAATTAAGACATAGACTGTCCTTAAAAAAGATACGGGCTAATTTTCGAAGCGGTGAACTGTATAGATCGAGGTTACTTGTTTTTTTATGCAGTCGAAGTCGTTAGGTTTATTATGTAATAAAGAAGCATAAATAATATGCTGACCATATTATGTGGGGTTTCCGTTATACATAGTTCACATTATCGCGATAGCTGTGCTTTTAAAATTCATTTTTCTGTTTTAGAAACAACTAGAAATAATGAATTCTTTTTTAATTTACCCTTTAATAAAAGAAAGGGAAATAAAATGCAACGAAAAAAACAACAGAGTGATGTGTATGTTGTATTAAAAATTAATATTTTCTTTATTAACGTTCGAAGAAGTACTGCATTATATTTAACGGGCATATTATTAAGAATGAGACACAATAATATGATACCCAATGAGCACGATTTTAAATTTTAGAAGTAAGGTATTAAGATCATAAAATATACTTACTGCAGTGCTTGTTAACGTTAATGTAGGAAAAGTTGTTATTTTATTTTGATTTATGTTTAATTAGTTGCTATTTATTTTTAAACGTTGATTTTTTCATTTTTTCATGTTTAGTACTTTTTCATTAATTGTGTATTTTCAGGTGAGTTTGTTTTTTCCAGCTAATAGCTTAACTTTGTAATAATGATTTATTTAAAATTATTATTAAAAGAAGCG